CCCAATGGGAGTCTCTTAGAATGACCCCTGCATACTCCTCAATTCAACAGGGACCCCATAGTGCCCTTTTGATCTGGGTATATCCCCAGGGTCCCTAGCTGTGAGAGACCCCAATCCCAACACCCTGAATGACTTGAAGCCAGCACTCTGAGATAGACGTCCTTCCAGCCCCGCTTAACAGGGCCTAGTGGCCTACAGTTCGATCCCCCCCTAAACACTTCTCTCTGCAGTTTGGGGTTGATTGCCTTCATTTAAGACCCTCCAAAATGACAACAGCCCTACAGGCGCCAATGGACGCGCCCGGTTTTCGGCCAAATCCAGACTACCACCCGCCACTTCCCACAGGCAGGGTTCAGCATTTAGGGCTTAGGGATTAGACTTCGGGACTCAGCGATCAAGGATTCAGGGGTCCGGGGCGGCTTTGCGGGGCTTAGGATCCAGGGTTAAGGGTTCAGGGCGGTTAGGTGGCTTAGGGTGCTTGGAGCTTGTGTATAAAGGCCTACTCTACTGTCAAAACGTGCTCAGGCAGCAACCATCAAGACTCTCGTGATGGATCTATTTGGAAAGACGTGGGTCTACTTGATGCCCGCTACCCTATAGGGGCCCTATTGCATACGGCAACTTGTTAGGCATTCAACCTGATTACAGCGAGTTAAGAGTTGTTGCAGCAAACCCTAAACCCCAAAACCATATACCCTAAACCCTACACCCCAAACCCTAGTCTCGACTTTGTCGGACAAATGGGTTTCCCTGCCAATGCAAGTTACCGCAGCGTTCGCTGTTACAAAAGATAACCTTGTTTGTTCTGATCGTGGCTGCAGCTGATAACTGGTAACTTCCAACTTTCTACACGTGCGTAGGAGCTTCTCACAACTCTACACCCTAAACCGCATGCAGGCGCGTTTGACGAAGTGACCTCTGACTTGCCTTTTTCTCAGTAGTTTGCCAATCTTGAGCATTGTTCTGGGTTGTTTAGCATAGTGTCATGTAGGGCTTAGGCTTTCAGGTTTTGGGTATATTCCTGTTAGTTGTGACGCATAGTGTGAGTTGTCAATAGTTACCGCAAGTTACCAAAATGGTTATAAGACGGGCAGTATGGAAAGCAATGGATCTAGAAGTTATAGAAGCTTACATTCAGATGTGACAACTTTACTAAGCTAATATACCCCTGGCAAATTTCAATCCTAAACTTTATGTACCATTGTCTAAACTCCTAGTATCCCCCTTAATAACCCCTATAGTAGTCCCATATATAATCCCCTATATAACCCCATTTAAGGAGTTTAGACTATAGCTCATATTGGCTGAACCCTCAGCTGTGATTTATTCCTTGAGCCCGCTGTCCTCCTACGAGACTTAGGCCAGGAAGTCACCTGACGCTCGTGTCTGCCTTTCCGGAGGACGGCACTATGAGTACTATAACAAGGAAACCCTAGTATTCACTATATTCTGGTAGCTTAATCTAAGTTCCTTAACAGCAAGCCAGTATGTTGGGCCGCACTTGTTGGAAGTTGGTTGGTAGGAAGTGGGATGAACTGGGATTGTAAATCGCCAAGAAGGTTCGCAAGCATACCTTTCGAAACCTCAGCAACCACTTCCTCAACCTCTGGCCTGGTAGGATTATACAGCCTCAACCCTACCAACCCCAAACCCAGAGTTAAGTTGATGCAGGAACTTCCTCCGCTTTTCCGAAGTCTCATTGATGCCTTTGAGCACATTCGTGTGCCCTTCAGGCTCAGGGCCCAGCAACAGCGTGCTTGTTGAGGGGTGTCAATGTGACGTCAATGGTTTAGGGTGTACCTTAGACCCAAAAGACCTTCAGTTTTGGGACCTTATAGTATAATTCTTTATATGAAATCCTAAAACTGAAGGTTTTTTGGGGTCTAAGGTAGGGTCTAGAGTTATATATGGTGTCCCGTGTCGACAGCCCCCCCCCATGGTATGGTCCCCTAGCCGCCAGCCCCACACTCTCAAAAGTGTCAACAGTCACAGGGATGGTGGGTGTCCAGGTCACGATCCTCGTAGCTGT